ACAAGCTAAAGAAGTACAAAATTAAGCTATGGAAATACAAATACAAGCTATGGAACTACAAAATTAAGCTATGGAAATACAAACACTTATTTATATCACAATAGAAATGATAAACAGTGGTCCTCCAGATTGTAGAAAGATCTCAGGATATCTCCGATAACGAGATGTACTGTTGTGACCAGATACTCTACCATGAGAAAGCATTTGACAAAACCCAGGATCTCTCCTTATGCATTGCTAAGGCTCTTCTCGGCCAAATTCAGCTACCCATCCCCCCACAGCGCCTCGCGAGAGTGTCAACAGAGTACTACAGTAGGAACTTATGCACCTGCCCTTGATTGCTGCCAGATACACCATGCGCAGCATGGTTGGAACATGAAGGGAGAAGAGTAAATCAAATTCCACCAGATGCCAAGCACTGTGAAAGAGACCTAAACTCAAGAGAACAGGACAACAAACCAAACTCAACATGAAGCAGAGATAGTGTGACGACTAAACATGAAGCGAACCGTGAAGTGACCCTGAAGAGAAGACGAATCTTTTTTTTTTTTTTTTTTTTTTTTTTGAGATGATCCAATCTATTTGCGGGGAGCAACACGGCTGGGAACCGGGCCCAGAGTCCCTTATCAGAATACAAAAGTGAGCTACCGGCGCCATTACCCGGCTGCGGCTAAGAACAATTGAAGGAAAAGAAAAAACTCAGAAACATTCAGAAATTGTGTGTCAACAAGCCTCCCAACCACGAATCAGATAGGTGAAACCAATTCAGTCCACCTTCGACCACCACCAGCATGGCTGTTTTCAGCACGAACTGAAGCTCTTCCAGGCCTCGTGCTCCCATCAGGCTAGGTTACAGAGTTGCACCACCTTGCTCCAGCACCGGCCAGCATTGCTTCAATTACGACCCCCGATGACCACTGAGACTGTCCCCGCAAACAGCCCCCCAGATCTCTCTACCAGGGCTCACACCCCCACTAAGCTAGGTCACAGACTTGCGCCACCTGGCTCCGACTCCGGCCAGCGTTGCTCCCGCATTGGTCTTTGAGGGCCACCGAATTTTCGACCACACTTCGCAGGATCAAGGATGACTTGCCAGATATCACCTATTCCTACAACCTCCTCAAGAGGTGAACCAAATGGAAAGAAATAGTAAACTGGATGTTAGAAGTGCAGTGTGCACAAAGCCAAAAACTATCGAGTGTGTCAACCATCCCCTGGACTATACTTCAATCTTTTATTCAAAACCATTTTGTGATGATCCGAAAACTCACAACGAACTTCGTATTCTCTATCACTCAACCATCTCTGCAGTATCTTCCTCATCCAGGGATATGACGATTACAGTCTATAGTCACATTCGGCTCCAAGGTGGCAAGCGTCTGGCCCCCATGGTGCTCCTGGCCGCACCGCCGCCACAAGCTCTCCCACTGCTCTTGGTCGCTCCACAACCAGTAGCTGTCCACTGTACACTTGCTCTCTCTCTCTCTCTCTCTCTCTCTCTCTCTCTCTCTCTCTCTCTCTCTCTCTCTCTGTGTGTGTGTGTGTGTGTGTGTGTGTGTGTGTGTGTGTCTGTGTGTGAGAGACTCGTATTGGAAGTAGTCGACTGTAGAGATACCTTGAATATATCTAGCCCGAACAAAGGCTAAATGCATATCTTCTTAGGGTGCCATGTGGTTTCTTCAGTCTTGTAGATGTACCTCGTCTCTTTTTCTTCTTCTTGAGCGACAGGAGACTTGACATCAGTCCACTGGGAGCCGCTTTCCCTGGCTTGAGATCTGAGATTAATTGTTTGGGGGCTTGCTGGAGGCAGTTTCAGATGGAGGCGAGTTTAATTCCTTGGTGCTGCCAGACATTGGTTCTTGTTCTTCTTCCACATCATCACTTCCCCCATTTCACACCCTGTGTTTCCTCAGTGTATGATTTCAGGGAGAATGTCTAGTCTTTGCTTGGACCCCTCACCAGCTCATGCGAAACCAGATCATAGTCAATTGTTTGCTGCATTGTTGGGTCAGTTCTATATGATTTGAGTCTTCTGCCGTGTCACTTCACACCTCTTGCTCATATTGGTGATCTTTGGGCATGGCATTGCCTTGGATCATCATCGGGCATGCATCACCTACATCATGCGTAGCACTGTGTAAGTTCATGGAGGAGTGTTCGATGGGGCTCAGAAAGATCATGGGACCAGTCAGCAGATCTAACCAGGTGGTATATGCATGCTGGGCATGTGCAAGGTATGGCACGGATCACTCTCTTTCTGTGCTGCATGTGCAACAGGCTGCTGTGGCTCATTACTCAGGATGCCTGTGCAGTTCTGCATCCAAATGTGTGCTGCTTGACTTTGCATGTGTGTATCCAGGTGCGGGTAGCATCCACGTTCCACATCAGTCTCTGGCTTCTTTTGCACAAGTCAATGCTCTGCTCACGTGCCTTCATAAAGTGTGGGATAAATCCATTGTTGCGGAAGGGGTTTAACCCCATATGTTATTCTAGGTATCGCGCCCTGTCAATTCAGTACCTGTTTAACAACAGTCACATCCGTGTACCATTCAACCACATCCTGCTGGTTATCTGGCTTGTTCTAATATATACAAGCATCTTGAACTGTACAGGACTCTGTCGGGGCCGCATTGGAGAGGTTCTTCCAGGTTGTTCCAGGTGGGATTCTAGTGTTTTTCTCCAGCTATCATGCACTTGAGACATTCGCCATCCGATGGAAAGCTACGAAGCTCTGGGAGAGGCTGGAGTCACTTAAACAGATGTTTACAGGTAAATGAATTGTGAACGAAGCAAACTAGAGGCTTATTTTTCTTGTTTTCTGGTTCAAGGAATGAATTACATTGAAAACCTGGAATTGAGAGTGTGTGTGTGTGTGTATGTGTGTGTGTGTGTGTGTGTGTGTGTGTGTGTGTGTGTGAGAGAGAGAGAGAGAGAGGCGTCTTGCAACTTTTTTTTTTTTTTTTTTTTTTTTCCGCTACCAATAGACGTGATATTACCTTACTGGTTATCTTGAGTGGATGACAATGAATGTATTTTCCGAAAACTTTATCAGCACAGAAAAAGCTCCAAGAACAAGATGCACTCCACGCGACCAACAGATCTACTATTGAAGCCCTAGAAACAGAGACAGAGTCGCGTGACAACTAGATTGTCTTGCCAACAATGATCCCTCATCTCTGTCAGGGATACCCTCGCATTCTTGCTTACCAAAATACTGTAGGGAGCCTGAGCTGCCATAGCGGGTTTCTGACCACGCACCCTTGGATCTTCGTGGAATTGCGATCACAATGGGTACAACTCAACTTTGCTCGTCACCGGATCTCTCTTACCACGTGACCAGTAGCGTTCCCACCGCCCCTTGTTGCACTCAAAGTGGCGCCGCTGCTAGTAAATCTGTAAGTTTCACCCTGAATCTCACGAAAAACCGTCTCCCTCCCACAATCGTAGCTGATGTATCAACAATCTCAGAACAACTGCAAAGGCTTCAACAAATAGTCTCTCCCTTCCCCAGTTGGCAATCAGAGAGTTGTGCTGCCAGGCACCCTAGAGCAGAGGCATCTACTACGCATTCACATTCCAACCATCATGCATTAATCCGGCCTGAAATACAACCAGGTTCCGAGCATATAAAGCAAGTCTAAACATCAGCACTCAGCAGACTTCCTACTACCGATTCATCACTTCCCTGCAGCCTATTGAGGTGTGTGCTAAAACGAACGCTGAGGCCCTTCAGCAGGCCCGAATACAGTCGGATTTCCACTCGGCTGTGGGGACGAGCATCCAACTTCAAGACAGCGACGACCTACTCACTACCATGAACCGTCTCAGTCCTGGTTTGCTGCAACAACTGAATTGCAAAAGATGGCCAGACAAATATCAGACGCCTCTCACCAATTACAAAGCTGTAGAGACGGGCATGGGGCTTCAAAAACAACGACAACACTCCAACAAACAGCGTAAACTAACTACAAGCTATGGAAATACAAACACAAGCTAAAGAAGTACNGTGTGTGTGTGTGTGTGTGTGTGTGTGTGTGTGAGAGAGAGAGAGAGAGAGAGAGAGAGAGAGAGAGAGAGAGAGAGAGAGAGAGATGGCATGATTGACATGACATGACAATGTATTGGCTGACATGTCGGCTGATGTGGCATGCTGACATGGAACTGCAGACTCTGTGCAGAATGTCATCGATGATGTGAGGTGAAGTGGCAGCTTACCTCTGCCTACCGTCGTCACCCGAAAATAACACCCGGGCATTGTATACAAATATAACACTGGGGCGTTATATTCAGTAAATTGGTAGCAACTTCGGTGGGGCCCTAAAATTCCTCGAAACAAAACAACGGAGAAAACTCTGTTAAAAACAAAATGTAGTATAGAGTTGCAATGCAACCAACTCTTGGCTGGGGGTCACTTCAGAATTCCTTATGAATCCAGGAAAAAAAAAATAAAAAAACTCAAACCGAAACATAGCCCTTGGAAGTCAGAACCCCTTTCGACCCCCTTTAAAGCCCTTGTATACCCCCCTTCCCTTCTTTTAAAACCCACATACGTAAATCACGCCTAGTCCCTTTTTCCACATTTCACCCATAACCTTTTGAGGACAGAAAGAGACGAGTGTCCCACGCGAGACTTTGAATAAATATTGAGGCGGCGTAGGCCTTGTGATACCGATTAGCCCTGCATGAATGCACAAGCAGTCACAATGATGGCGTGTTATGTGGTACCCATGACCACACGGTACTCAAGGATTTTGGGGATCGCTTTCGACGCTCAATTGTCGGCTGACACGCCTCTTGAGAGATTAATCTCTTGACGCTAGACAATCGTGAATGCGATTGCGAGACCTACCCTCTTCCGCACCCAGCGCGCAGGAGTGGTAGGCTGGCTTCGTCCCTTTGTGGGGCCAAATGCCTCCGACGGTGAGAAGGGGGCTCCATCTTTGGAGGTCTTTGACAAGGTCAAGGGGTTTGACTTTGACAGCCACCACAGACATCAACGTCCAACCATAAAAAAATAATAAGCAAAATCAACAAGGTCAATCAGTAAATACCAGGCAAGCACCCCAACACTTACATTTATCGCAATTTGAGATAGAGTAGAAAGGATAAAAAATAGGTCCATTAGTAGGTATGTAGACCGTGTGGCATATGGTTATCATTCTCACTGCTCGCAAAGTGTGGCTTGTACATCATGCTCCAAACACTAACCGGCATAAAACATACGCATACGTTAAAGCCACATTGCCAGACACCAATATGGTCAACTTTACAATTCCCAGAAACTCACACCAACACCCATATTCATCGCAACTCGAGATATAGTAGAAAGGATGAAAAATAGGTCCATTAGGTATGTAGATGGTGTGACATATGGTTATCATTCTCACTGCTCTCAAAGCGTGGCTTGTACATCATGCTCCAAACACTAACCGACATAAAACATACGCACACGTTAAAGCCACATTGCCAGATACCAATATGATCAACTTTACAATTCCCAGAAACTCACACCCCGTCTTACACACACAGCCCCAACCATCTCCCAACTTTTCATAAAACGATACTCAGTTGTTTTAAAACGACCATTAAGAGAAGTATGGGTGAAAATCCCAAGAAATTTAACAAACCACAGGGCCTAAGGCCTTGGGTTGGATCACGAGAATAAGTATGAGTTTAGTCGTAAACCGACCTGTTATCAAAAAATAACTGAAGTTGTTGATCCTTGTAGGATCAGGCTGAAACTAGTTAACCTTGAATCGAAATGAACAAGGAGGACACGTAGCACAACACAGGCCAATATCTAAAATTGTACTTTTCAAGTATATGAAGGATAACCTCATATCACATATCATCCACTCCTCACAAAACTAAGTTTAAATCTATATTTGATTAATATTATCATTTAAGACTTTCTTTGGCAGCATCTCCCTTGTACATATCACATCGCGTCCAACTCCTCGCAAGGGTAAGTTGAAATCTATCTTTGATTAATATCAGCATTTAAGAAAAATTTTGGCAGCATCTCGCTTGTACAAGGTGGATTGCCACAGTTTTTTTGATCAAATAAAATCTTAATCCTCGAAAATAAAAAAAAATTGGCAACACTCCCTCTATAAAAATTGCCTTTTCATAGTTTATATTATGCCAAATATAAATCTCGATTAGGACATTGACTTTGCAAAGTCAAAATTTTGTCTAGCTCACTGAATTAGTAAAAATTTGAACAACACTTCCCCTAGAGAAGTAGGCTTCCAAGATATTTACTAAGTTAGATATATAGTTAGAACAAAAGTTGACTTTTGCAAAGACAAAATTTGGCTAACTCCTTGGATTTGTAGAAATTTCGGCAACGCTTCCCCTAGCGAAAGTGCATTTCCAAGATTTTTACACCATCTTGCTGAACTTTAAAATGACAAAAAATAATTAACTCCTATGGCTCCAGCACATGGCGAGCATCTAAAGCTACTACCTATTGAAAGACAACTCGGCCTGGACTCACAATCAAGCAAACAGATGCAACGAAACTAAGTCTCTCACAAAAACCAAGTTGTATTTCATGCAAGTAGTTGGTTGAACCTTCAGATGATTAACCCCTTTACACCATCTTGCCTAGGGCATTGAGTTAGGTCATTCACTGAAAAACAATGCCCAACCCTTTGCCTTAGTCATACACGAACCGGTTGCACAACTACTTCTTTGAAGTTCTTTCTTCATTGGGCATGCGACTAGACTATTAATCTTAGAAACAATGTCTAATCAACCTTGAGCTGTTTAGTAGCCAAGTTATATATATATATATATATATATATATATATACATCTTTCTGCTTTCAATGTTCAAAATGGGCGTAGAACTGAGCCATTCATCTTTGAAACAATGCTCAATCAGCCCAGGTTACCTTCATTTACCAAGTCATTCATCTTAGGAACAATGCTTGGTCCTTCGTAAAACAGAAACCAAAGAAAGCGGTCAGACCATTCATCTTAGAAACAATGTCTGATCCTTTTTAAGACTCGATCAATCGCATGCAAAACCACCTTCCTCCCACCTTCCCCCAATTTATTCCACTATGTTTGGGTTCAAACAACAGAGTAGATGAAATTCACACATGCAATCCTTTTACAGAGTTAAGTCCTCAAAAGAAATAGAATTGAAGGGAGCGCATGCATATATATCATTCAAACTAAAGAGACGTAAAGATAGGGGCTTAGTGGGCTCACACAACGAAAACAAGTTATCGTGTAAGTTCTCTGCCACCAGAACCTTCCTTAGGTCCCGACAGACCTCCCGCAATCGGTGGGCCAAACCTCCCATAAGGTCTTGATGCGGTCCTACGGGTTTCGAATCCCACATGCCGCCTTCCTCTCGTAACCACAGACCATTAGGAAGGGGTTTTAGACTCTCAAGATACAAGAAGGGGCCAACTTAACCTGCATGAGAGGACCTTGGTATCTTGATGTGCCTGGGGGTCTCGCAATGGTGGTCAAAACGTATAGTAAGTCGGCCAGCCGCAATCAAACCGCAGTTGAAAATCGTGTAACAACACCTTGACGGCTCTCCACTTGGCGGCAATGACGCTCTTGCAGAAGCTCAACTTACCCCCTCAACCGTCATACTCCACCCTCTGACTAAGTCGTAGCGACGCAACTGAGAAAGCCTGCGTTCAAATAGCGCACATACCTGTGCTCTATTCGAAACGCAAATAAGAGTCAGCAAATCCCAACCGGGGACTACGCGTACAACAATTCGCAAGCAATAGCGATGTTTCT